TTCGATCGTTGTTCTTTTTCTTCTGTTTATTCCATCTTTTGTTTGTCATTTAAAATCTTTTATTTCTGATTATTTTTAAAATTTATCAATACCATGCTAAAAAACTTGTTAATTTTAGTAATTTCATAACTCAGGTAAATCATTTTAAATACGACTCATAATTAAAAAATTTATGATTGAGAACTTTATTAAAAAAAAAAATCTATTTTAGTCGGTAAATGCTCATATGGTACAGGGAAGCGATTAATAGAGCTGAGTGTACGAACGTGAACGTGCGATGGCACGCCAACGCGGCATTTCACCAAGATAATGTGAAGGGTGGAGCTTGGTTTCGGTCTCTGGTAGTAGAGAGCTGAAAAAAGCAGAGAAACCAATTTCAACAGCCAAGAGATCATATCATAACGACTTTTATAATTAAAAATCAATGATCGAATATCGTAGTTTTTACATTGATACAATAGGAAACTGTTCGCTATTTTTCCGATTGGACTAATTCTCATATTTTCAGAAAATTTCGGTATATATAATAATGCTTTAAAAAAAGACTTAAAGTTTGAATAACTTACTAATAAAAAAAAAATGTGTGTCAACGGTCATTATTACAAGATGTTAATAATTAATTATGATATTCCTAATTTTCCAATGTATAATATGTCGATAAGATAGAAATTATAGCTACAGTAACTAGTCAAATCAGTGTTTTGAAAAACTTTTTCTTGTTCGTAATTGGATTTTGTATATTTTTAACTATCATAAAATTGATTTATTTATTATAATTAATTATAGTAATATTTGGATAATCTTTTGGACGCTATTTAAAAAATAGATGGTCTCTTGACGACCCATACTACTTTAAGGGGCTCTTTTTTTTTTATTGGAAAAAAAGAAAGAGACATAAAGGTAGGGGCTATCACATTCGAGGTTTGAGCGCCATCGCTCGGTGGGTATACAGAACTTTGATATTGTGACCTGAGATTATTGACATGTTGATCAAAACTCCGTCTGGATTTTTAACACAGCACTGAACTCTTATCAAGAGATATGGTGGTGTCAGAGAAGAGAGACCAGCATAGAAGTCCAATGCTGTGTTAAAAATCACAACATAAAAGTTTCTGTGAACCCATCGAGCGATGGCGCTGCAACGGTTTACTTCAGCCACGCCCCTTAATCTAAGAGAAAAAAGAGATAAGATTTGTGTTCTCTTTTACTCTCATTACAAGAATCCTAAACCAGTTTATTTTCAAGCACAAATTTTTAAATAGAAAAGGTCCAGCACTGTTCGCAACATACATAGAAGCTATAAACCCAATTTAATATTCTTGTAACAGCTCAGAGGTAACACAATCGACTACAGAAACGTAGGTTTGTGGTCAAGCCTGTCAATGTTATTTTTTCTTTTCTATTTAATTAATTGTAATGATGAATTTTTTTAGGACAAATTTTATACGCGATCACATTAAAGGAGAGTAAAAAATGATGTACGACCGAAACAATTTTTTTATAACAAATAACGATGTTTATGAGGAAAAAAAAAGAGAATTTAATTATGCATGATAATAATGAGTCAAAGGCTTCGATAATGATATTTACAATATTAATAATATATTTTTAAAGAAATAATATTTAATAATAGAACAAAATTTTTTTAAAGAATATACTTTTTTAAAGAATATTGGGACTGCTCGAAAGGCCTGGAACTTGGTACCCGAAGAGAGTTTTTTAAAAAATTTTCTTGGGCAATAAAACCTTTATTGTCCCAGCAGCCTAAATCTCACAAACAGTAGGGACTTTTCGAAGTCCTATCTATCACAGTAGATAAAAATGAGACAAATAACAAAATAATCTTTTCTCTGAGTTCCGTGGGGCAAGCCTACCCCACTTAAGACTTTAAATATGATTTTATCTTCAATTGAAATAAATTGATCGGTAGCTCAGGGGTTAAATCTATGTTCGTATATCCTTTGGTGACTGGTTCGAATCTCAGCAGTAGCTTTTTTTTTTTATTAATTAAATAATATTTATTTTATTATTTCTTTTTATAACAATACGAGTGCCCTTTTTTTAATCTGGGTAATGGATAGAAATGCAAAATTTGTTTTTATCATTTTATAATTAATTTTAATAACAACAATGAACAACTCATAAATATATGACCGAAAGACATGGTGAAATATCTCCATAAGGCTTCTACTAAGTAATACTAGAATTTAAAAATATAGTATATATATTTATAAGTTGTTCATTGCTGTTATTAAAATTAAGTAAAAAATAATTTTAAAAATTTGGGATTTTTATCCATTACCCAGAAAAGAAAAAGGGTACTAGTATTGCTACAAAAAAAATGTAATAAATTTTATTTAATTAATGAATAAAAAAAAAAGCAACTCGCAAGATTCGAACCAGTTACCAAAAGATTCGTACACAGACAATTTACCCCTGAGCTATCATCCTATTTACTAGAATAGAAGGTAAAGTAATATTTAAAGTCTTAAGTGGGGTAGGCTTGCCCCACGGAACTCAGAGAAAAGATTATTTTGTTATTTGTCTCATTTTTATCTACTGTGATAGATAGGACTTCGAAAAGTCCCTACTGTTTGTGAGATTTAGGCTGCTGGGACAATAAGTGTTTTATTGTCCGAGAAAAATTTTCAAAAAACTATATTTTTTTCGCTCCTTACTACCCGAGAACGAAACTAAGCTCCGCCCTTCACTTCAGCTCGGCGAAATGCCGGGTTGGCGTGCCATCTTGCGGTCATTTTTATAAATGCTGACTACATTTCTTGGCTCCCATAAGGACTGAACTTCTATACTGGTCTCTCTTATCTGGTAGTGTCTTGTGCGCCAAGCGTAAATCACCGCCATCTAGCCCTTACGTCGTGACGTAATTTGCTGAAATTAAAAATTTGCACGGAAAGCAATTGTTGGCATTCGATTAAGCATACTATGAAGTATCATCGTTGCTTCTTTCATAATACACGAGATTGGAAAAATTTCGTTGCACAAAAATTAAGTAAAATAAGAGTTTATTCATGGGTCAATCATACTTTTTTTTATCAAGTTGGTCATTGGAGTTTTTGATTGCTATGGAGTTTCCTTATTTACGGATTTTAAAGTTGGTAACAAGTTAATCTTGCTCGAGCGCGAATATGAAATAATTAAAGTATTTTCTAAAAAGATGTATTTTTATTTTAATATTCCTTTTCAGTTGATATGTACAAAAAATTGTGAAATCTCATCAGAAGCAGCCCCCTTCTTCTGGGCTGTATAATTATGTGCGCCAGCCTTAAGTTGCTGATCCTTAGTATATTCTGACTCTACTGACCGGTACATCCCTAAGCATGCTCTAAGACACTTCCTTTCAAACACTCTCAGCTGCTCAAGTATTTATTGTAAAAGATGGCGCTGTTGGCTTGCTAGTGTGTCAAGATGGTATCCAAAATACTTCACTACGTTTTTCTTTTTATGCATAACTTCTTATTCTCCAATGATCCAACACCTTTGAGTACGTTTATGCGTGAAAATAAACCGAAGTTAAACAGCCTTAACCTCGGTTATAACATCGATTGGTTAAAGCGTTTATGCCGACAAAATTTTCCTAACTTCGGTTATCCCACCAATTTAAATGAATTTTATTTTGCTAATTTCTGGATATACAGAAAGATAATCGTCAATAATAATCTTACATTTGTATTTATTTTGACGAATAAATCGATTATTTTAGATTTACATTTAGCTCACGCATAAACATACTCATTGATTGGGTTCACTTCGACCTTAAACTGTATTATGAAAACTTCAAATGATTTAGGAAGATGATTCCAACTCTAATGGCAAATAATAATTTCTGACTTATTCGGATTTATTTTTAAACTAGCAGACTCTCGCGACTTCGTCTGCGTAATGTGTAGAATTACGTTCCACAATGGAAGGTTAATTTAAAATGTTTTGAATAGTAATTTCATAATATAAATTAACCAATTTAGATACGCATTGCGCTGTGATAGTATTGATATAGAAGTAATGAATTTGTAGGCATTGATGAAGAACGGTAAAAATGCAAATTCTATCGTACTATTTAATTTCTGCTCCTTTACAACGATTTAATTGTTATGAAAAAGGCTACTTTCTAAAAATTTTACATGTGAAGTCATTTTTATTTAGTAAAAACAAAAAAATTTCCTGTTGGAAGAACTCGAATATCTTGCATAGACCCCATTTTCAATTGTTTATAAAAAATTCAATTGTTATAAACAATTTACATAAACAAAAAGTAGCCTATAATCTTCCTAACAACCTCCTCTACATGTCAATAATCCTGAGATTCAGGACCTCCTATTTAATTACAAATCAACATGTCATTATTTTTGTATTGATCATTCTGAGCAATTATATTAAAAAATGAAGCTATTAATTTTGTACTAAATTTGATATCATATTCACTGCAAAAATATTTGTCACACTACATAAATGGCGACCGACGTGTAGGCATGAATTTTTTGTAAATAATAGCTCTAACGATTGAGAATCTTGTTTTTAAAGATATCAGACTATTATAATCTCAGTGTATAAAATGAGTGATAAATGTAATCAATTAAGTATTAATATGATATGCACCAGTCTGGGGGATGATATCACCATGTTGCGAGAGGTTAATCGCTACCTGTCAGCTGGACTCGCTCTCGTGCTCAGTCGAGCTCACCCTATCCTAGCTCTTCTTTTAACGCTCAACTAATTATGGTTGGACCAGAGAAAGAGTCGTCTTCGGGTTTTTTCGGGCGAAGTACCCCCACCATAACTAAAATAATAAGCGCATGCGCCTAGCTGGATCTTGTATTACTACGCCGCGCGGTGAATATAAAAAAGCACATGTTTGATTTATCAAATAGCTTTTTTATTATTAATGTATATTTATAATAAGAATATAGGGTTAATCAGATAACTTGAATAAAAACCACAAATTATTAAGAGAAATTTTCTCGATAATTCTTTTAATTGTTAAAATATAAATATATTTATAATATTGTAGTGAGATAATTATAATCATCATAATCGCAACTTCATTATGTCTTTACTGTCATTTGGACCTCCACCTAATCGTTTATAATACCTTTCTTCAATAAGCCTGAAAAAATAACATTACATTTAATCAGATGAAAATCGATCAAACGTTGGAGTTGTAGTGCTTTGGATTGTATTAAAAATTGATCTCAATGTCAGTAAATAAGCGAACTTGATTCCAAAAATTGAAAGAACATTTTTATCAAATGAAGGTATTTAAATTACGTAAATCATTGAAAATGTATATGGAATAAATAAAATTAAGTAAATTATTTGAGGGCATCTTACCCACAGTACCGATATATCTCCCGATATAAAAGTGGGCTAAGAAATAAAAAAAATGACTATTTTTCATATGTCAATTAAATATGAGACCAAAACACTAAAAGTCAGATATTTAATATTTTTTAAATCTAATATAAGCTTTACAGTAATTGACATGTCAAATACACTTTCTGGCACGTATTCTATTCATTGATTTATCATTAAGAACGTCGAAAATTGATATTTTGCCAACAACTGTGCTGCCTATCTCATGAAACTTATAATTTTTAATTTTCTACTCAATTTTTAAGATTAGTAGGTTAGTATAGTTATCACGGAATTTTTTTTATTACTCACTTTTCATCGGCTATTTTCTTATTTTCTTCATCCCTTTGCGACGATACGATTCGATCTATTATCGTTTTTAACCTGCAACAATACATATTTCATGTCCAAAATAAATATCATTATAATTGATTTATTACATATACCTTTGAACAGGTTCTTTAACTCTTGTTTCAGCATCTTGAAGACAAAGCTTTCTAGCACGACTTACTAGCGTAATTTTACTACAAGATAAGAAATGCGCTAAGTGGCCGTAAACCTGCGACCTTATTGTTGATGACTCTGTAGCGCGTAATTTTTTTTCTAAGCTGAAAATCCATCAATTGTTTATTTATTATTAAATATATATTATTAAATATTCCATTGGTTATTTACTAAATAATAATTAAAACAAGTGATTACCTTAACAATGTATCATTAACAGAAGTACCAAAAAATTTTATTTTTCCTTCTTTACTATTTTCAGCATGCTTTTTAAGCTTTGTAATAATTTCTTTTACATCTTCTGGAAGATTATCTGGTAAACGAATATCAATTTTTTCAGCATCTTCACATTCCGATGATGTCCCCAGCTGTGCATCGTGATTTACCAGAATCTATTGTGTCTCGGCTAGATTCATCATCAAGTTTACCATCATTCACAACACTTTCAATAGCATCATCTATATTATTATCTTTACCGGAACATTTTTTTGATTCAACCTTCTTTTCTTCAGTGCCATTTGTAATATTTTTTTTCGCTAATTTTTTTTCTTTTGATCTAGATGCATCACATTGCAGCCTCTTTCTCTCTTCTTGATTTTCTATAAAACTATTGTCTACTTCCATACTGTCATTTTTTTGCCTAATTGAGTTATCACCATGTGAATGATCATGATTTTTTTTCTTCCGTTTTACCCCATTATCATAAACAGATTTCTTTTCACAGTTATCATCTAATTTTAATTTCTGTAAAAATGGTGATATTATAATAAGTATTAATGTTAAGTTGTTTTAATATTTATTTATTTACCTTGGTTATTGGTCCGTTGAGAACTTCTTCAGTATCATCATCATCTGATGTGTCAAGATCTCTTTCTCTTCGTTTAGAATCTGGACTATCTTCTTCATCATCATCACTACTTTCGCTTTGATTTGTTTCTTTGACACTAAATTCTAAAGGTCCACTGTTAATATAAAAACCTCCGTAAGCAGTATTTACTCCTTCAGGAACAACTTCATCATACTATTCGAGTAAATTAATTAAACAATTGTTAATATTTATAATAAGTTTAATTAATATTTGTTACTAATGTACTCACCGCGTCTGTATTATCTATAAAGGGATCATTCTCATCATATCCTGCTCCAAGATCAACTTCGTCATATTTTTTCTTTTTCTTTCCGGTCATTTGAGTTGGTCCCTAATGACACATTATATTAATATAATTTAATAAATAGATAAATAAAACAAATAATATAATTCAAAGTTTCACCGTACATATTTAGCTTCAAATTTTCGAGCTACTTCTTTTAATTTGGCATCATCATTATCATCGAAAGGATCCAATCCATTCGAAACATTTTCATTGAGATTTTTCAACTCCTTAGCTTTCTTTTTCTGAAAAATAATTTTTTTTATTTATTGAAATGAGTATGGAATGTTTTTTTTTCAATTACTGAAATTTTTTGACTGTTTAAACTATTTTTTGTTTTATCTCTTTTCTGCAGATTTAATCCCCATCGATTAGTTTCTTTATGATTTGCTTTATGTGCGTTCAAAGTATAAGAAAAAATACTAACATAATTTGTTTTTAAAAAATTATAATGTAATGAAGTAAGAAAAGAAAAATTTATTACAAACATTAAACAAAAAGTACGAAACTCTATTACGTTACTCAATGATCTTTTTCCATTTTTTGCTCTTATTGAAAGAATGAATTAAAGAAATGAATGATTAAAATATTTATGATAATAACAGATTTCATGATAAATATCAATTCAAATAATTTACCTCCAAGTAAATCTATAGCTTCATTAGATATTGCTCTTGGGAATTTTATTTCTTCGAGAAAAATTAAAGTAAATAATTTCTCATGATCATTTCAATTATGAAATGGAAGACCACTGTATATCTTTTTATACATCACAACACCAATACTCCACCAATCAACAGCACCTCCATAATCGTTATCCTCTAGAACTTCTGAAGCTTAATATTCTGGTTTACTGTAGAATATCTTTGTTGATCGTCCTGAATATTCGAAAAATTAATTAATTAAATAATCAATAAATTGATAACAAATAATCTCTCCTAATGAAAAGTAGAAACTATTCAAGAAAAATAAAATGCATTAAAAAGAAATTAAATGTTCAATCAATTTAAAATCAAAGACAAAATATCGAAATTAAATTCAATACTTCATTGGAATTATTCTTGCTAATCATGTGGTTTAAGAAACAATTTTGATCCTAATAAACACATAGTGTAAGATCTATTATAAAAACATAGTTATCATTTCAAGTTATAGAAATAATTATTCAAAGTATTTCAGATAGAAAGAACCAAAAAAATAAATAAAATAAAACAGGAAACAACTCACCATAAGTTATGTCTTCTTGACATAGTCCCAAAATCAGCGATTTCAATATAACCATCTTTGTCCAGCAAAAGATTTTTCAGATGCAAATCTCTGCAAATAATCTCTTGAGAATGAAAATAATTCAAAGCAGATATTCTTTCAGCACCGTAAAACCTCGTACGATCTTCCCTGAAAACACCAATGACAAAAATCAATTTCATTCATTTTCGGTAAACTTAATATTAACTCTTACAGAATATTTCATTTAAAAAATATACTTAGCTTCTAAGGTTTCGATTTCACATACATCACATGTTTAATACTGACACCATCTTCTGTACCATCCTCATCACTGCAATATCCGTTTCACCTGAAAAATAATAAAATTTATGATGAATATTTTAATTTTGGTATTATAATATTAGATAAGCATGCTGTTATGATTCTTACCGGTTTCTCAAGATGTATTATCTAACTCGTAGCTCAATCCTCTTGTTTGTGACGCTTCAATACCGGAAAGTACATCTTGTTGGTGATGATTTCATCCAACATTTGACCCCGAATTTGCCTCATGTCACTTTGCGTAAAGTTGAACGGTTCATCTCTTGAAATGTGCTCAGCATAAGCACAAACGAATACCCCACAGTCGTAACCATTTGATTGCCTTGGAATTCCCTGAAAAAAATGAAGTAATGATGATTTATAATATGGGATGACAGTGTGCCTCAATAATTCATAGCAAACTTACCTTGGCATGGTTCATCGTCCATGTAGTTTGATCAAGAGGTTGCCCTTCAACTGCTTCGTGCTCTCTGCATAAGTAATCCATGATAGTCTGAGAAAAAAATTACATTTATAAACATCTATAGACATTTGTTGGTAATATACAATTATTGTTTCCATGATTGAATTTATTAAATACTCACAAAAAGACATGCTTCATTTCTTCTATAAAGGCTGTCATAATAAGTGATGGACTTATTTTCAAAATTAATCACTGTCAAACACCAATGAGCACCTAGATGAATGGGAATCATCATCAATCTCTTGGAGAATATTCGAACCTATTGAAAAATAAAATGAATGTGATAAAAGCAATAATGAAAATGTTTGATAAAATGTTTATGAGTATAAAAAGCATACCTTTCTCGTCCATGATTGAACTCCTTCATATCCTCTAAGCATCAGCTGCTGGAAGAAGAAAGTGTTACAGGCGTAGATAGAAGGTGCCCCCCTTTCTGCTATCATCTCCAAATAAACATTGATAATCTGTACAAAAAAGTGAATTAAAAGCATGCATAATAATAATTTACGATGATAAAGAATTGGTAATACTCACCTGGTCATTTAACCACTCAGGAGGATAGAGAGTCTTCAAATCTCGTACATACACCGACATCTTGACCTTCGTGTGTATGAGTGTATCGTCTGGCCCCAAACAGTCCTGAAACAATAAAATACAATTAGATTACATGAAATAACAGTACTGAGTCATGACAAATATAATTAAAGAGCTACTTCAGCTTCTTAGTAATGTTCTAACGGTTGATTTATAGTTATTTTAAGGTAAAGTTACCCTTAAATGACTTGAAGTAAACGCTACGTTTACTATGAACCTAATTGCAACTCTCATTTAACAATTGACATGAATCCATCAGGGAGAAAAGAATAAATTACCTTATAGTCATCAAGAGGTGATGTTGATATTGAATACAATTCATCAGCAATGGCATTTGCAGCAGTATCAGTTTCCTCTTGTGAGATCTTTGGAAGAGGTGGTGAACATGGTTCATCCATCTAAAAATTTAATAGAAAAAAAATATAATAACCATAAAATATAGTAAAATAGAACTTACCGTTTCTTCGTCAAAGTCATTAAAAAGAGATTTTTTACAAGAAAGGATGCTTGATACAGCTGATGACTGTTTCTCGAGTTTGGGTGTTTCTTGTGAAGCTATTTCCATCTCACGAAGCTCTGGTACTACATCCATTTCATGAACATCTTGAGACTTCGTTTCTTCATCCGGTACATCTTCCCATTCATCTTCATCATCATCATCCGTGTCAACAGATTCCTCTTCTTTAATTTTCTTATTTCTGCTATTCACTTCTTCTATAAACTGAACAAATAATAAAAGTCAGTATTAAATTAACATTTTATATCCATTTTTAGATCCATTATTTAATTTTTTTACCTTTGGATTATCCAATTGTTGAGAGCAATCCTTTAAAATTTCCGTTTCCACTTTTTTACAGCATTTACTCCACATTTCTGCATCAACAACAGCCAAGGCCTCTTTCCAGATTGTAGACAAATTACCCTCGGAGAAATCATTATCACGACCAATATGTTTATCCAGGTATCTTTTAGTGATTCCCCAAACCAACTCGATGGGATTGTAGCAGCAATGATAGGGAGGCAAACGAAGAATTTTGTGCTGAGTATTTTCCACGAGTTGATCAATTTTGTACCGGATTTTTTCTTTGTGGGCCTGACACTTTCGGAGTAGTACAGCATTGGTATCATGCTCATTATAAGGAATGCTGCGTTCTTTTAGCCATGCCATCAAATTCTTCTTCTTCCAATTAGTCGTAGGTTGTGGATTAATCTGGAATAATAATGATTACACTGATTTTAATAAACCTGTTGATTGTAAAATGTAAACAAAATAAAGAAATCATTAAAACTATTTATATAAAATGATAAGTACACGAAATAACAAAAGTAAGCGAGGTTTGCAACGATAATACATACCATTTTATTGTGATACGATGCGTTATCCATAATTATCAAGGACGGTTTCTTCAAGTTGGGCAATAGTTGCTCAGAGAACCATTTCTCGAACATGGCAGCATCCATGTCTCCATGATAGTCATCACCATCCTTCGGCTTCTTTTTTGTATTTAAAAATAATGAAGCGCCTTCAATGAAGCCATTTTCTCCTCCTGCATGGCAGATTAAATATCGGGAACCTGTTCCAGCACTCTTTATTGAACAGCTGCGGAAATCCTCGCACTGCCAATCTTTGGTTTTTCCAGTTCCCATCTGGAATGTCCACGTTTCATCCAAAAATACGACCTCGCGTTTGTTGCAACTTTGCAAATTCTCCCTATACTCTGTGAGGAATTTTAATCGTTTGAATACAATGTATGGTTGTTCAATAACATAACGCTTGCCATCTCTTTTCTCATACGAAAATCCTTTATCATGCAAGATCTTTCGTAACGTTTCCTTGCCACCATTATATGCAATCTTCTTATCTCTATTAGAAAAAGCAGAAGGAAAAAGAAAAAGAAAGAATAAACATGTCTAGCAATAGCATATAAGCAATATAGTAGTCGAAGCATGAAAAATGTAAAAAAGAACGAGAAAATCATGCTAAAACAGGGTGCAAACTTACCTAATTAAACGTACTAATTCCTCCACTGTTACATTCCTTCGTTGCTGGTAAATTTGGTAAATGAGATTACAAATATCATTCTTAACTTCTTCTGGTGCATCACGAATTGGTGCTGGATGAGGTCGAATTTTCCCTGGTGTAGAAAAGGGTTGACCAGATTCACCAATGGCTACGTATTTCGTCACACTATCTAAAGAAATATTTAGATATGTGGCAACTCTTTGTCTGTAATTTAAAAAAAATACTATCAGTGATGACTAAATGGCATGCTAACACTGAATGATTTAACTTCGATTTCTATGAAAAGAAAAAAAATGATACATGATTACCTGACATTGCTTAATGGAACTAGAAGTTCTCCAATTTCACGTTCTTTCTCCAAGGCTTCATATAGATTGCAAATTGCAGCTTGAAATTGGGAATTGAAGGATCTTCCTCTTTTATCCGTCGTGTAAATGGACCACCTTTTCAGCTTCCTCGGTTTCTTCGGTGTTACCTGTCCACGTCCCCGGCTCATGTTGGGATTAGAATACTATCAATATATAAAGTAGAACTACAAACACGATATAAATGAATTATGATTAACAACAAAACACAGAACAACAAACACAAATGAACGAATAAAAACACCAACACTAAAAATACACAAACACAAATGTTAATAAAACTGTTCAAGTTTTAATAAAAACAACGATTTTGCACAACAATATAAAAGCGATATAAAATTATTAATGCACAATAAATCTGCAATGTAATTTTTTAGCTAATTTGGAGCCAAATGAGCAGTTATTGATAGATGTATCAATGCGCAGTTCGATATAAAATAATTGAAGAAAAACCGCCAAATTTGATTTTTAAGTAGCTTACGTCGATAACAATAAATGCTTACTTACCTATAAAAGTAATGTGCGCATGCGCGGCAGTCTTAAGGAACTATTTTTCTTTGGCGGAGTCGACTTTTCCGGAAACACCCGAAGACGACTCTTTCTCTGGTCCAACTTTACAGCTCGTCTTCTCCAACCTAGCCAATGATAGGTGTCTTACTATTGTGCTAGGTCTACCGACGCCGGCTACGACGTGTTTGCAGCCATTAACGCTCACGCGACGCTCAAGTACACGTGTCCTGTTATCGCTCTTTCGATGTTCTTATAAAAGAATTGTTCCAAGCTCTTGATAAACTCTATTCAGGCTCAACAAAATTCAGTTAAGCTCTAACCTTGTTAATAAGTCATTGTTAACGTGATAAATAATTTATTTTTATAATAAAACTGATAAAAAAGCTCAAAATAGAAGTGTCTTTTGTGTGTGGGCACCTCTCCTGACCACATCCTACGACGAAGCTCATCAGCTATCATTATTCTTAGCTCGAAAACATTAATTAAAAAATGAAAATATCTCAGGCAATTTATTTGCATTAAAAACACACCATGTATGGTGATGCATCTCCGCAGAAATCTGAAATCAGTTTGGGCTCTAAACAACTTTTTGAATCAGCAATGTGATCGGTGTGAAGGTGAGGACTCCTCGTTCCTGGAATCTTTGCAGAGCGTCGCGAGTAAGCTAACGAGACTTGACCAGGAGCAGATAAAACTAATTTTGAATCTACTCACTGAGTGTAGTACACTTTTCTCGGATAAATCTGGTTATACAATGGTTTATCACTATAAAATCAAACTAATTAATCCTCGTGCAATTATTAAGAAGTCATATCGAGTTCTTTTTAAGATTCGCGAAGCAGTTCGCCGGAAAATACAATATATGTTGAGAGAGGCAATAATTGAAAGGTCGATCAGTCTTTATTGTAATCCCTTAAGAATTGTAATTAAAAAAAATGGCTCGGTACGTGTGTGTTTTAATGCTCGATATCTTAAAGCAATTATAGAGGGTGATAACGAAATTCCACCCTCAATTTTAGAACTTACGCAAGAATCTCTAGGTAAACCTCATATGACCACACTTGACCTTACTCATGGTTATTGGCAAGTACCATTGCATCCTGATTCGCGACCCTATACTGCTTTCTTGTTTGATGGCAATCTATATCAATTCTGTCGCATTTCATACGGATTGAAAACTGCTGGTAGTGGTTTTATACGAGCTCTAGGTATGGTGTTGGGGCATAGCATGACGGGTTTCCTTCGCTGTTGTGTAGACATGTTCATTGCATCAGAGAGTTTTAGAGTACACCTCAGTCACTTGGAATAAGTATTTGAACATCTTGCTAATCATAATTTCACTTTGAGGTTGGATAAGGCGTTATTTTGTCGTGCTGTACCATTCCTAGGTTTTGTTTGTAATTTACTATCAGGTATTCCACCTATGTTGAGCCTTTCAGAGACTTGTTGGATGGTTGTGCAAACTGATGCTTCAGATCATGGTATCAGTGCGTTATTGTATCAAGATTCTGATGACGGGCCGAAGGTAATTGCAATGGGAAGCCGCTGCTTGCAATCAGCTGAGGTTAATTACACCACAACCGAAAAGGAATTGTTGGCGATAGTCTATGGTTCGGACAAATTTAGAGTTTTTCTGATAGGCTATAAATTTTCAGTTCTGACAGATCATACAGCTCTTACCTTCTCACATTCAACTGAGTTTCTAACAGCCAGACTTAGTCGTTGGACATAGTTTATTCAGAAATTCGACTTCGACACTCAATACTGCAAAGGTAAAGATAATATTGTTAGTGTAGTAGCCGTGTGAATTTATCGTGTATTAATTATAGAATAAGAATAAAAATTTTTTGTTTACATATTCTTGTAGAAGATGATGAGGAGAGTATTTTCACCTTTCATCGCTTACGTAGCGAGAACGGTAAGAGATATAAAAAAAAAATTAACATCTTTTTTGTAGGGAATCGAATTCACTTCGAATTTCCCTTGCGGCCTTCCGTCTGAGAGTTGTTAGCTCTCCGAATATCCTGGGTTGAGTAGTAGGTCGACCAATTAGGGGTTGGGTCTAGAGGTTCCATATTTTTGGGTGGGGAATTATTATTGCAAATATCCAATTTGTTGTTCTGTTCATTTTGTATCGCCACCGTTGAGCCAAACATGTATTAAAGGTTTTAGTTAGGTTAACTTGTTAGATTTGATTGTTGTAAAACCAAATTGTTGGTTAAGAAGAGTAAAATTGATGTACGTCGCCGTGTATGATATACACGTAGCATTACTTTGGTTTATCTTTATATTAGTTATTTATTATTGGTTTATAGCACTTTTTAACAGATTATTATTAACTATAATTGTTGTAAGTTTGAATTAATAAATATTGTTTTAATTGTTTAAACTATTTCAAGAGAATTCACCTTGTAACAACTCCGCAAAGAATCCTGGTCCATAAAATTCGGTAATTTTTAAATCAAGGCGGGAATTTTCTTGAGGATTCGCCTTAAAGAAAGTTCATTCGTTACAACAGATATATAAAAGTATTTATAAAACACCTGAATTACACACACACACACACTTTATAACGTATTTACAGAAAGACATTTTGAATATTACTGCTCAAATTTATAAAATAAATGTGGTCGGTAAAGAATAAAACAGTTTTATCAGTAAAGTACAAAATGTGTTTCCAATCGCCCGCTTGAAAATGGCGGTTTTATCAATGTAACAGATACAGTTAAAAATGCTATTATATTTATCAATACTAAGTCGAATTTTTAAACGAACTACATTTTACTGCCCTAAAATGGCGTTTAGAATATGCAAATTACGTCAAAATAAGAAATCTAAGCTAAGAGTAAATATTAAATTAAATAATTAATACACAGAAAAACGCAGAATTCTTGTACATACAAGAATAAAAGCGGTAGAGAGAGACAAGTAAAAGAGGTTCCCCTTGCTTCTTCCAATTGCGTGAGGTAGTGAACTACTCACTTACCTCAATCAGTAGATGTTCGGGTAAACTACTCCCTCCAAAGGTAGGCACGAATGGGTGAAACAAAAAAGGATTACACAATAGGTAAACTACTTATTCTTAACTTATTTTTAACAGCAAATGAATTAATTAAAGTAATAGCAACAAATTAAATGAGGAATCGGGTTTTGATTTGATATCGCGAAGACACAAAGCAATTCTCTTCCAATAAGAAGTAACAAGTTTATTTCATTCCTGAAGTACCCTTTATTATGACTTAGAGGGATTACCTGTAGCAGTTAAGCTATTCTTCATTAAGATCAGTTTTCCTAGAAGTTTGTATAACAAAGTGTGAAGTTAGAATTCGATACAGAATGAATACCGTGACTGTTACAAGGAGTTGACCTTAGATGTTATTTCTTCAGTAATTAAGTTACAATAAGGAAAGAACGGCGCAACGCACACTGCCAGAGCCCCAAAGCGTGAGAAAAGACCTTTGCTCACCAAGGTTCTGTAAGACAATGCTCTTTGTACTCTGTGGTTACGGACTTCAACTTGGCCTCCTCTCGACTTCTCGTTACCCGACGAAGTAAGAGTTATGATGATGATGGTCACCTCCTGTACTTTCATACACCCGAACAGCTGGATGATGACCTCCTCTGATAATGGACCTTTTTTGTGGACAGTTGGAGATTGGGACTACCATTTATTCGCGCGTTTCGCGAGTGTGAATCACTTATGATGCTTTTCGTGACTAACTAGTAAGATGACCTTACTTCTCTAGCTACTTCGTACTTTGTGATAGCGTTGACTGTTAGTCAAAGACTGCCCTGCCCGCATGTCAGCGAGGCCGCTTCGGTCCCAGTATTCCCTCCGATGTGCACATTGGTTCCGCCTCTTTAGCAGCAGGAGTGCCCTGTAAGTTGAAGCTGACAAAGCCACGAAGTATCCCATGGTCAGGTAGATCCACTAGTGACCTGTAGCAAATGATGTGGCGGCAACTGGTGACGTATGTGCCCTGTAACACAATTTTATCTCCCATAGAGGAAGGGTAAGTAATTGTTCATTTGGCAATGGGCCAGGAGATCTCGCCGCTCTCAAGCAAGAGGACAAAAAAGATCTGTCATGTCACAAGTTTTCATTTGCTGCATAGATAATAATTATTCAATGGTTCATCAAAAAGATAGTTGATTAAAAAGATTAATAGTTAGAAGTTTTCTGAAAAACATTCAGCCATTTTTATTCCATAGGTGAAAGTTGGACATTTCCCGAACGCATAAATGCATAGTCCTTATTTTAAGAGCCAGATCTATACCGTCCACTCAACATGCTTTGAAAAACAACCTAACTTAAAAGTCTATTAAACATGGATCGATTTTATTCATTAAATTTTTTTAGTAACGGCAGACATCAGTATGAATTTGTGATAACATGCCAAAATGTGTTTTCTAGTTTATAAAAATTTAGCAACTTTTCGCATATTGTAAATTAGATATCTCGACAACATCGCATCAGAAATCAAGACATAATGCGAATAATAGTTTGAAAATTTTTCAAGGAATAAAATGAGACAAGTTTCAGATTTCTAGAATTTATGTTTTGCGGAATATTTTATTTTTTATTCGAAGAAAAAGCACTACAATCCAATAAACAATTGAC